TTAATAAAATATAATTATTAATAAAAAAAAGAATGGCCTGGGAAACCAAGACTGCAGATCAGTGATAAAAAAGTTGGCACTAACGCTGGGGGCTGTGAGGATGACTCGTAGCAATATTATGGTACCAGATTGAGATAACCAGGGATGTTAAGGACAGCAGAGAGCAAAGTGGCATTTTACTCCATCAGGTTAATTTAGCACACTTTGGGGTTAAAAGCGTGTTGTTATTGTTAGGTGCCATCATGGGAACTATAATTCATTAGCCACCCTCTGAATAACAAATCTAAGCCTTGTCCTGTCCTGCACCATTTTCACAATCTCTGATATGTTTGAGAGCCCACTGTTACAGTGGTTTACTAATACATCTACCCAAGACCCAGTCATTCACTCCTGTATATCAGAGTCATGACGGTAGTGAGCATAACATGTCAACCTGCTAAAAGATAAGCTGTTCAAATCCACCAGCTTCTTGATTAATTCTTACATTCTTTAAGCAGGTCCATAATAGTTTTATTCATATAGTAAAAAACTATAATAGTGCAGCTGGTTGTCAACAGAAAAATGGATATGCAAGCTGTGTTAACATTGATCTAATGAGTTATCTTTGTTATGTCAATGGTATAGATTAGCATAAAGTGTACCTTGAGTCAAACTTTTGCGCAAAAAGGAGATTAACCAAATCATCTAAAAAAAGCAAAGTTGGGATATGACAGATACCAAACTACATGGAGAGCTCCAAGGAACCAGGAAAGTAAAGCTGAAGAGCCAAGGAGAGAGAAAGTGCGAACAGAGAAAGTCTTCCCTTGAAGCTTGCATGCACTAGATTTGGACTTCTCAATTCAACTACAGGAACAGTCCATAGAGAGGGAACGGCCAGACGTGCAAGCTGAATTTAAAAGAGGCCATGGCACCAGGGATTTAATTGCTGATGCCAGATGAATCTTGCTAAAAGAAAATACCAGAGGAATGTCTATTTGTGTTTTCTTGATGATGAAAGGCATTTGACCATATGGATCATAATTAATAATGGATAACATTGAGAAGAATGGGAATCCCAGTACCCATGATTTTGCTCATGTGAAATCTAGATCTAGACTAAGAAACTGTTGTCCAACTATAACATTGTTTAAAATAAAAAAAGCTGCATGTCAAAGTGGCTTCCTTTCTCCATACCTATTAAATCTGTATGATGAGAAAATCATCTGAGAAGCAAGACTTTATAAAGAAGAATGTGGCAGGGGAGGGAGAATGGAGGCAGAGAAAGGTATAAGGTGCAATGATGAATGAATTAAAATCTAACTTCTCTGTAAATGTTCATTAAAATCACAACTTAAAATTTTATTGAAAAAAATAAAGTTACTGACTTGTTATAAAAAAAAAAACAATGTGGCATCATGCTCAGAAAAAGACTTACCAACAATTTGTATTAAGCAGATGAAACAACCGTGCCTGCTGAACGTGAAGAGAACTTAAAATACTTACTGCAGATCAAAGACTGCAGCCTTCAATATGGCTTACAGCTCAACGTCAAGGAAACAATAATCCTCACCACTGGACTAATAAGAAATATCACGATAGATGGAGAAATGATTGAAGTTGTCAACCAATTCGTTTTACTTGGATCCACAATTAACACATTTTAACATGAGTCAAGAAATTTAAAAAATGGGAAACATTGGGGAAACGCGCTGTCAAGGTCCTCTCCAAGGAGCTAAAGAGCAAGGGTATCAGTTTAAGACTAAGGTGGGTCTGATCCAAGCCATGGTCTTTTCTATTACTTCCTATGAACCTAAACGTTGGACAATAAATAGGATGATAGAAAAAGAATGTATGCATTTAAGCTGTGGTGTTGAAGAGTACTAAATATCCCATGGACGGCCAAAAGAGAAGTCTGTCTTGAAGTAAGTGTAACCAGGGTGGTCCTTAGAGGTAGATATGGTGAAACTTCATCTCATGTACTTTGGGCATGTTGTCAGAATGGGTCAGTCCTTGGGAAAGGACATCATACCAGGAAACATAGATTCAGAGAAAGAGAGTTAAGTCCCCAACAAGATGCAATGACCCAATGAGCTCAAACAGAGAAGGTAATGACAGCGCAGCATAGGGCCAGTATCCTATCTGT